TGAGCTGCCACAGGCCCCTTTTTGGTGGGTATGGCACACGCCACCAGGGATGGCCAAGTAATGCCTTCCCCCTCCAGAGAACAGTGCTTGAACATTCTCTACCCAGTATTGATTAAAAAAAAAAAAAAAAAAAAGTCTGAAAGTGAAATGAGATTAGCCCATCATGACTAAACGAACGGAAAACAGCGTTTCTGGTGAGAAGCCTGGAAGGATGCGCATGCAAAAAAATGCAGAACGCCCTGTTGTACTGGCAGGACAGAGCCCCCACCAGCTGCCTTTGCTACTGCATCAACAGGTTCTCCGAGATATCTGGAAATTCACGCGAGGTTCTGACACGGCGCCATTTTTGACCAGCTGGCTGTTATCGGTCTCAACACGGCTTGCGAATTCCGAGGGGGTGTTACCTGCTCCCGATTCAGAAGAGAGGTCCTGCGACTCCGAAGCGGGTGAAGGCTCCATCTGAGGGATCTTGCAAGACTGCTCCTCCTCCCACTCCTCTGCCTCCTGCTCGAGCCGCCAGTTGTCCTCCTGGATGTAGTGCCTCAGCTCTGGGGACAAGGCTTCCACCTCCTTCTGAAAGTGCCCAAGCTCCGAGCCACCAGTTGTGTCTGGAAGACATGCGGGACCGGCATAGAGCGACATGTCGTCGCAGGACACCGCCACTAGAGACACAACAAATACACGGCATCGTGCAACGCCCCAATCAAAGCCGCTGTGGGATAAATGGCAAAAAACCACCAACTTTCTGCTGGCTTCGGAATTTAAGATGATTCAAAAGTAAAAGTGCAAAACTAAAGACGAATCCACAGAGTTATCTGAAGCAAAACCCAGTTTTGTTCCACCGCTAGACAGCATTTGTCACAGAGAAATGCCAGAAGCTGCGCCTGCTGATGCAGGAGGTGAGAAATCCTCCTCCTTCAAGGGCTACTGCTGTCCCGAGAACAGCGTTTACGCTGCCGGGGCCGGGAAAGGCACGGTTCCGCGGGAGGCACCGTGTCTACAACACGACACAGCACACAAAGGTAGGGAACTGCAGGGATTCCACAGCAGGAGCGGCAGGCTGGTATTTCTCAGGGCTTTTTACATCTGCTTCGGCAGCCAGTTTTGAAACAGCACAAACCCCAAGCCGCATCAGTTTTAGACAAGTCTTCACATTTATGAAAAGTGAACGGCAATTCTCTACACCAGATTGTTCCTACGCACCCGTTGTAAAGGCAAAGCATCTTTAAAAAGCCACAAAAAATGCATTAAATAGGGGGGCAGAAAAAAATGATGGGTTCATTTCAGAAAGGGAACCGCCATAGAAAGACAGACAAAGAACAACCTCCAGATCCTCATCAGCCATATTTAGCAATGAGCAGAATGACAGTTCTCCATTGTTTCTTTCTATTAATTACATCAAAATGAACCACGCCTGAAATTATTAGGTTCTTCTACAGCTGTTTGCCATGTATAGTGCCACGTGCCCGATAATTTCTCCCCGTAACTATTTATACATTGGCGCTGCAAACACACTTGCGAGTCGAAGCCACTGTCACCAATAACTCAGGCACGAGGAAAGGCTGCATAAAAAAAGAGCTCCGTTTAGGTCCGATATAACCATCTCACTAAAAAACGAGCCACCACGTCAGAAAGCGTGATAACAACGGGAGAAATAAAGCAGGAGGTATTCCACGTGCCCTCATAAAAGCAGCACTCTCATCTAAAGCATACAAAGAGTCAAAGCGAAAAACTCCCGCAACAGAGGCGTGCTGGAAGTGCCAAAAGGGGAGCTGGAATGTTTCTACTCATTACTAATACAGAAAGCACGGTACCTGTTCTCACCGGTACAGTTCCTGCCTCACTTTTCAACCCTACCAGGGATTTAGAAACGAATCGAGTACGGAGCAAATTACTTCACTTGTACCTGGGGTGAAGCTCTTTGCATTCTCAAAAGACAACTGTGCCAGAGAGGAGCCGAACGTAACGATCAGGCAGGCCAGAGAGACAAGGTGATGGACAAACGTCTAATTAACTAGCAGTTTTGGCTGCAGTACCTGCAAGGAAGCGGGACACCTTCTCGCTTATGTACATCAGGCAGTAGGCACTGGCATTCTTCAGACCTCCGAATGAATCTCTCTCCAGTTCCTCCCACGACGATTCCGTCACCGAGATGTCGTTGTATTTCAGCCAGCGTTGTCGAGGCTGGTCGTATACGTAGGCCCAGTAGTGGCCGGCATTTGCTTGCCCTTCGTGTACCAAGACTGCGTGCAAACGGTAGGGAACCTGCAGGTTCACAGGGACACACCTTTCAGACGCACTTTTACTAAAGGACTTTGCCTGACCTCTGTACCGATACGTCCACAGCTGTAGCCTGGTACAGACTCTTGGTTCATAGGGTGAATTCCCCGCTACGGGAGAACTGGCTTTTAAGGCAAAAAGCAACAAGATTCCCATAAAGAATCCTTTCTCCGCTTCATCATAATATTGGCATTTTTAAAAACACAATACAGCGGACAACTTAAGCTGACAGCTACTAACACAAAACAACAGCAGCACCATCAGTTTAATATCTACCTAAGGAAGCCGCCCGTCTCACCTGCTGGAGGAGAGGGTCGCAGTACATTTGTTCGATGGACAGGTGGATTCTGGCAATAGACTCCCTCAGCTCTGCCAAGAACATCAAGAGTGAGAGAAATACATAAAAAATAACGACTGCTCATCAGGCTATGCCGGCCCCTTTCGCTCGGAACAGCGAAGAGAAAGCCGTGCAGTAACTATCAAATGCACGCAGCGCCGGGGCTGACGCGCGCACAAGACCAGCTGTAGGTCAGGACGTGTCCAGCTGAAGCGACAGAGGGGAAATCAGGCTGGCGTTCAACAGAAAAACCACAAAAAAGACATTCGGGGCCAACCTTGCACGTCCTGTTCAATCTCGTTTCTCCAGCGCTGCAGACACGTCCGGACGAGGCTCAGCTCGTCCTCGGAAACCACGCGAGGAGCTGGACCTTCAGACATTTCCGCTGGCAAGCCAGACGGCTGGAGCGGCGTACTTGATTTTTGCTGCGGCGAGGGATTTGCCGAAAAGAAAGCTGCATCTTCAGTCCCAGTATCATTCCCTTCCAGTATGCTGCAAAGCAAAGCCAAGAGGAACGGACAGGTTTTCCAATCTTTCTCTTGTATTTTTCTCTTTTTGGAAACGAACATGAAATAAACCAAACCAAAACTGCTCCAGAGCCAGAGCAGGATTTCCCTTCCAGGACGGTCCAAAACGTAAAAAGAACAAGTGAAATGTACTTTTACCTCAATGAGCCTAATTAACAGATAGGACAAATAAAAGCTCAAATTCTTACGGGACTCAGAGCACAGATACATACGGAGCAATTTTAAACATTCCTTCCCTTGCTACTAAGAAACTCCTGTATTTACTCAGCTTAATGTAGAGCGTAAACCAACTGTGCTGGCCAGGTTTGTAATAATCCAATATTGCAGTAAGTTAGTGGTTGATGAAGCCAAAAACTTAGCGGCCTAACCAAAGAGAGCACACCATTTAACTTGGAACTGCTGCTCAGACAAGAAATGTGGCAACGCTTTTGGAAGAGGAAGAAGAAGAGACCAGATGCAGTGTCGTATTTGCACAAACAGAACCAAATCACGAGCAAAGTAGCGCCTGGCTACTTGCGCAGGCGTTCATACGTGACAGCAGCGTGCTCACGAGTGCTCAGGTAAAGAATCCACTCGTAGGATGCAAACCAGGAGCGTTTAGCTGAAAGGCAAAGCGTTCTCCTATGAAATATTTTTATTTCTGTTTACCGACCCATTCAGCTGTGAAAGCCCGTCCAAAACAGGAGGCTCGGCGTGGGACGGCGGGAGTGTTGTCTGAGCGCCCGGAGCAGAAGAAACAAGGACAGCCGGCTTCGCAGCGAGGAATTCGAGGACGTACTGGAGCATGTCGGGCAGGGGAAAGCGGGCTGGACCAGAGCCGTACCTCATGTACCTACAGAGACAGGCGAGGGGTCACGCAAGGGAAGCGGTGTGAGCGGTTAAAGCTGAGGGGATGGCAGAAGAGCCACGGGGAAGAAAACTCCTGGGCTGGGATGGAGACAGGTTAAGCAGCGAGGGAAGAAGGGGAAAAACCCAGGTGAGGCGAAGGGACGCCCTCGCCACCTCCCACCTTGAAAGCCTGGAGCCTGCGGGGCACTGCTCGGCAGCAGCCAAAACTCTTGTGAGCTGGCAGCACCCAAAACAACCCGGCTGCTGCGGAGACAATTAACTCCGCCCCAGCCAGGGAAAAAAGAAAGGAAAACAAAAGCTTCTGGTTGTCCACAAACCAGATCTTTGTAACCAGCCTCCTCCCTTCCCCAATAACTGATGGCAAATGCCAAGCTGGAGGGGACATCCAATATAAAAAAATAACGCACTTCCTTTTTAACGGATTCCTGGGCTTCCTCGCCAAAACCAGCCAGCGTAGCTGACAGGTACAACTGTACTATTTAGGGGATTTAATTTTGTAACAGCATCAGGAATACTCAGAAACCATCAAGCCCCCGAGTTTGTTTTCAAAAGCACCCTTCCTCGCGCCACGCTTCTCAGCACAGACCCACTTCTGTCTGTCCATCCTCGACAAGTTCCTCCTCTATCGGAAAGCTCCTTTGGAAGGAAGCGTTTGCACGCTGCCGCAGGGCACAGAAACGCAGCCAGCTGGCTACTCACCGTTCCAGCTTCTGCTGCAGCATCCCCATTTTCTCCTTCAATCTCTTCATTTCTTCTCTCTTCATCTGAACGAGCTCTTTACAGCAGTAGAGGTACCTGAACACAGAGACACAGCGCCCCGCCGCCCGAGACTGCCTTACTTCTGGCATGCACAATCTTGCATAACTATTTTAGAATCTTCCCTTGCTCACCCGCACGACCTTTGCAACGTCTTTAATTACAACAAAGCAATAGCTTTAAACGTACCGTGCACGAGAACAACTCACCTGTCCATATAAATAGTCTGGGGAAACTCTAGCTTGGTGTGAATTTTCTCTGGCTGTCCTAGGGACTGATTGAACTCAAATCGGGAGAGTTCAAAGGTCAGTACTGGTGGGAGTTTTGTAAACCAGCGCTGCAACAAAAGCAGAAACGCCCCCAAAGGGACTTGTTTTAAGATGACTGCTAAATGGCACATTTCAGACCAATCCTAAATGATTTCAGACTGATCCTAACTGCCTCTTTGTCTTTAAATACTGATGTAGTATATATTTTCTTTACGGAGTGACTAGGCAGAAAGCCAAATTTCACGAGATTAAAATTTCTGCTTCCATTTTACATTTTCACCGTCAAAAGGCCTCATCACAGCTTTCAGAACGTTACTTTTCATTGCCCAATGCACCCAGCTCGATGGATTATTAATGGGTCCAGCACTGAATTCTACGAAGTTAGCAGACAGGACACCAACCCCGGATGTCAGCTAAGAGCCTGCGACAGAGTTCTTTCCCACTGCAGACTGCATGCAGTGGTGAAGAAGAAAACGGAAGTCCTTACGCAGCGCCCGATTCCGCATCCTCTCTCAGTCTACTGACAAACTATTTGATGCAGGAGATGCAGAGAAGGAACCCACGCTCTGTATGTTTCCTACGCTGCTCCATAGAGCCACGCTGAAAGAAACATTCTGGCTTGAAGGTACCCTTCCTCTCGCTCTTCCTGGGACGACCAGGGCTTCCAGCACCCGCTGCCCCAGGTTTCCTGGCCCTGCCTTCCCAGGGCAGCCCCAGACAACGCTCCCTGCTGGACCCAGGACGCGCAGGCTGCCGTCGCCGTCCTTTGCAGGGGTCACGTCAGACCTCCTGCTGCAATGCACCCACCCCGCTCCAAAGTGCAGCAGCACGGTTTTACATCTACAATACCGCCCATGAAGGCGATCTCTCTTTTTTTAAATTATTTTTTTTTAAAAAAAACTTTGGAAGGACATGGCCAGGCAGCAGAACTGTGTGAGAAGAAGCCCAATCTTCAGAACAAGAGAACATCAACACAGAAAAGGAATGATTTACACACCTATTACCTAGGAGAAATGCAAGGTCTCATTAATCCCACTGATGCTTTGAGCTTCAGTACACTCACCTACGTTCCCAAAAGACAAAATGCACCTTATTCTCTATGTCCCCTATCATGCAGTCCTCTAGCCACGACATCCTAGGGAGTGAAATTAAGATGCAGAGTTTTTCCAGTCAGATTTCTTGGACATAAAGCCAGAGCCTTTTCCTTCTATCCAAACAGACAAGGAATGATTAAAACATCTCCGCGATCAGTCCAATCGCCCTTCTTTTTCGGAAAAGGATTTGGAGGAACTGCAAAGCTCAGATGGAAAAGAATCTACCGGATTAGCTCCCTCCGCCCCGCTGCCTCTGGCACCAGCTTCACCGGCAGCTGCTGCCAAAGCACCTGAACAGCTCCGGGCAGGAGCCAGGAACGCCGGACACCAACAGCCGAGTCCAGAGGCGGACAGGGCTGTCCAAGACTTCATTTCTCCTTTGCTGGATTAAACCACAGCAACGCCTTTTTCAGACGTTCTTCACAGAACTGAAATACCTCTCCCTGCCCCCCTCTACGCCAGACACCTTCGCACGTTTCCTCATGGCATTTCCCAGGCTTTCCCTCAGCTAACTCCTCAGCTGCACTTACACATGCGGGGTGCCCAACCTAACGGTACACCTTCGCTTTCTACTTTGCTGCAACTACGTGTTTTATGATTGGTTTGTGACTCATGAAATTTAAAAGAAAAAAAAAAAAAAGAGAAAAAAAATCAGCACAGTCAGAAGAGAAGAGTGAAAATGAGAAGCAAAAAACCACACACTGTAACAGGGAGAAAGATACAAATTGCAAATGCATACCATAGAGTTAAGCACTGTACTTTTACCCTCCGAAAATATGGAGGCTGTGGTTCTCCCCCTACTCAGGTACAGGTAGGCTTCAACAGAAAGAGAGAGACTTTGTCACACTTGCATCAGATGTTTGCCTTTTTAATTTAAAACAAAATCCTCGAACCGGTTATGTAGACAACACATCTTTACAAATACCGTGTGCCGCTAACATACATTTACACAAGACTCCGGGTATCCAGAAACTATTTTGTATTCAATGCTTAGGGAACATTTACCATTGCCATTTAAGGTTCTCGGAACATACTGAGACAGCCCTGCGCTACGCGTGTTGCATTTTCCTGCAGCAAGCAACCAAAAGCTCAACAAAAAACTGGTAAAACTAACCTCCTGTCCATACTTCACCGACTGAGCGGCTGGGGCCGCAGCCATCTCTCCCTCCACCATGGCTCCTTCCAAGCACTCATTCAAGTTTCGATAACCATTTACCTGGAGGGGATACTGACCAAAGGTTTCGATCTTGGAAAAAGTATTGCCTGGGTGATGGAAATGATACAAAAACCATGAACTGACTTAAGAGAACAAAACACTCCGCTTAACTCAAGAGTTTGTTGTCAGCACCAGTTCAGAGGTGCTGCTTGCAAGAACCAAACCGCGTCTCGCTGTCTACACGTCTGCCAGGGTAAGCCTCCTTCTAAACAAGCGCTTCCGATACGTGAGCACTTGCCAGTACTTAATGGTTGCAGAAGACAGACTCTAAAAACGTTACTGACAATTTTATCAGGAAGACTATTTGCAAGTTTAAAGAACTAGGCAATTTCACCAGGAATGC